ATTTGTAAATATTGTTTATATTTTCAATTACCTGTGCTTGAACATAGCTTATTACTTACACTACTTTATTATTGATTTCACTTGGTACTTATGCTTATTATATTGTTATTACTATTTTTGTTTTATTTCATGAACTTTTCTGCGCTTCCTACTGATTTTTGGTGTTATGAGCAACTGCAGCAAACAAATTTCCCCCTGGGATTAATAAAGTATTTCTGATTCTGATTCTAATGTTCTGTAGCTTTAAAGGGAAACAGCAGCAAATACTTTGACAGGTTGGTGCATAACGATTCATTCACTCTTGGTGTGTTTGTCTTCATGTGCATGTTTTCTTCTCCTTGTTTAAATCCACACTTCAGAGGCTCTGTGAAGTTACACACTTGCATAAGCAAATGTTCAGTAGAGTCTAACAACATTTAGAATCAGAGAGAAACCTTGACTTGAGACAGACTGTTCACACAGCTGAGGATCTCCAATGCAGCTAGCAGACGGTAAATTATGTCACACCAAAGCCCCTCATTCCCTCCTTACCTGTCCACGCTCAGACAGCCCAGTCTGCCTCCCTCCTGTACTTATTAAACCACATCATTATCTGAGCGCTATCCTCTGTGCGTCCCCGTCTTTAAAGCTGCGTTTCAGACACACTCACCTGTAATCAACCCATCTGTTTATTGTCCTACATTATTACACTCCGCCTGTGCAGAGCTGTGTGTCTGTCCCGGTGAACACCTGTCCAGGTGAGTTTGAACTCGGTGCAGAGTCTGAGAGGTTTAAAGGCACACCTGCTGGCCTGGAGTCAGGAGGGAGACCAAGACAGTGCTGCTGTTTCATCTCACGCTGAAGTGGGAAGCCCTTTACAGACTGCTTTATCTAAGCTCAGCCGCCATCACGTCTTTCTGTAAGTTCATATTGATTCTGCGACGGCGTAATTTTGGCGTCCCAGTCTGAGAATTCACATCCGAGTTTTGGCGTTGTGGAAGCACGGCACAGCGAGGGCTACACGTACACACACAGGCGGACATGCACACACACTCACAGCGTTACGCTCCCCTGCTGGCTCAGCCGATCCCGTCTCTCCTCTGTAACGCCTCTGAAGACGGTTCCCTCTCTACATTTAAACTGTAGCCTGTATAAAACATGGACGTTGTCTCAGTGACATCACCCATTGGTTTCTGAATCACAACGACGGTGGACGCCATGTTGGGAATGCTGAGTCTACTCTTTTAGTCGACCTACTTACAGGCTTGGAGGTCGATCTTTAACCTCGGGGCAAACAGCTACAATGCACCTGTCAGGTCAGCCACGCCCCTAATTATGAACAACTCTGAACCTTCAAAAAATCAATCAGAATTCATTCTCTGTGCAGTGTGTGCTGGTAAAGACAGACCAAAACAGTTTCCCCCCAGGCTGTATTCATGTTTATTTCTGCTGTTAAAAGGGACATTTTGATATCCAACCTAAAAGGGGAACCCTCGGCTTTTGCAGCCAGTTTCAAGTGGAAACTCGAGGTACTGCAGTTCTTTGCACTCCTGCATTTGGTTCATTGATTCAACACTGGAGGTTTCTGCTGGATTGCAGCACAAATATCTGCACTTTCTTCCCCGTATATTTTCAAAGCAGACCTTTTATGGCAGCTTCAAAGCATTTTAGTAGACGTTAAATGTATTTTTAATCATTTGAACGACCAGATGGATTTCACCCTCAACCTCAAATGGAGGAGACAGTAACTCGTGGTAAAGCTGCACACTCATGGCACATGGCACTTCTGTTAGCCACTTTCTCTGAACTGTTCTCACATCATCATAAGAGTACTGACTAAACCTGCTGAAGGATCCAGCCCCCCCCACACACACACACACACACACACAAAGCTGTGAGGAGATGATTTGCTTCAGTTACAGCTTTGTTTTGATTCTGTAAAGCTCTTATTGATTAGTCCATGAAGCGTAACTGTTGACTTGTAAAAGTCCGCACAATGAACACACACTTTTACTATTCATATATTATTTATTCATACTCCAACGTCTGCCGTCATAAAAACTTTAAACGCCATCTCTGAAATGTGAATCAGTGTTCTCATGCTGTGGAGGCTGAGTTGTTATAACTATAAAATAATGTAAAGACCTGCACATCAATCCACTGCAGCAGAGGGGAACAGAAACAACAGTGAGAAGAATGTATATGTTGCTTTTAGAGCAAAGTGGAAAGGAGCTTCTTCTTGTTGCCGTTGCTTTGTTTCAAAGTAGCCGTCGTTAAATCTGCAGGCATGAACCCTAAGGAATAGTCTTTAAACATATTATTACATTTAAAAATGGAGTTTCATATCAAACACTCTGCTACAAAGAAAATACACTTTGTAAAAACTTATATAAACTACAACAGCATGTTTGCATGCTTACAAAAGACTTTGATTTAAAAATGAAGCTAACTTAGAAGTACTAAGGACTGCAGTTCCTCCAGTGTCCACTAGAGTCTGTCTCCTGCAGTGAGTCAGTCCCCATAGAACTCCATGTTAAAATGTCCAACTTTACAGCTGCAGTTCCTCCAGTGTTTGCAACAATTAGCAGCTAGCTGAGGCTGTGAGAAACATACCTGGACTGTTAGCACATTCAGTGTTTGTCATATTTTGGTTTATTTGTGGCAGCTTGTGCATGAAAAAATGGTCACCTGGGGCAACAGGTAGCAGCTGCCTGGACTGTTAGCTCGGTCCCTAGCCCCTGGTTTGATGTTGGCTCGTCACCAGAGCAGCGTGCACACAGCTCATGTCTCCAGTCTTTTATGGGAATCTGCAGCCAACAGACTGATCGACTTTTCTGTCCAAAACGTTTTACAGCCTCTGAATCATTCACAAGAGGAGCACCGCTCCACGATGTGAGTGATGTGAAAGGCGAAACAAGAACAAGAACGAAACATTAAACACACAGTCACTCAAACACACGGTCCAACACCTCACCTGTGCTTACACACACACACACACACACACACACACACACACACACACACACACACACACACTGAGACGCACGCACGCACACGCACGCACGCACACGCACGCACGCACGCACGCGCACACGCGCGCGCGCACACACACACACACACACACACACACACAGTTTAATTTTTTAATCCGTTTATTGCTGCAGCAGACGGTTTGTGTTTGGATTGTAAATCTCCGTCAGACCTCGGAGAACAATTAAACGAGTGTTTCATATGAACGGATGTTTGATTCCACTGAGTGAACATGGAGGATTTATAAAAGTGACAGTTAAAGACACATTGCTGAAACTGGATCACATCGACGTTCACTGTAGATTACAGGAAGATAGCGTGCATTACAGAAAATGAAAACACTTCCTGTCAGTGGAGGGAAGCAGACTTAATAGTGATCGTCAACTTTGAGCCAGAGGAAAAGTTGATGAACCAGCAGGTAAATAAAAAACGTTTATGTTTGAGTTTTAGAATTTTCTGGCTCAAAATAGAGAGACAGTAATTTTGCCACAACATGTTGTGTTTTACTTTCACTTCAGTAAAATGTATTTTTAGTCACATTTAGCAGTAACCTCCAGTGTTGGAAAATGAAGCCAATGCTTGAGTGTAAAATCCTGCAGTTCCTGGAGTGTCCACTAGAGGCTGGCTGCAGAAGCACAATAAGTCACATACACACCCATTCTAAAAAGCCTGTTTTTACTGCAGAGATTAACATGTTTACAGCCTGGTTCAAAAAACCAAATAGGTGTGATTAGCTCATGTCTCGATCGACACACACTGTACGGGGGGGTGAATGTTTTGATGACTCATCAGTTTTGATTTGATGAAGGATAAGAATTATTCACAATAAGGCGTGTAGCTGGCCTGATTGACAGGTGGGCGCGGTGTAAAGGTTTGTCAGGAGGTTTAAAACCCGCCTCAGCTCCAGCTCTCAGCTTGTCGTTAGGTTGACTGAAAGTTAGACTGAGACAGCATTTCCAGCATGGAGGCCGCCATTGATGGGACTCCAGTGCCCCCTGCAGGAACAGACGGGTCACTCAGACTTCAGACTTTAATATTTACAGTCTGTGGTACAAATATAAAAGAGTTAACCATGATGCATGTAGTATAAAATGAGAAATCTAAGCATTTATTAGGCGTTTGTTTTACAGTAAAGTGCAGGAAAGATGCTCTTCTAGCTGCTCAGGTAACGAGCGGACTGACAGACGTTAGTGTGGACGTAAGAGCGACAGAATAAAAGATGGAGGCGTGTTTCATACAAGGCTGTGAGCACACCTTCAACATGCTGCAGTAGATGATATCGCTCCTTGTGCACACGGCTTTAAAGCAGAACATTATAATATTCTACACGGGTTGGTTTGTGTGTTTAAAAGAACAGAAACATCACATTTAAATAAACAATTATTTCCCTCACATCAGTCTAATCGTCTTCAGATTTACTTCAGTGAGTAATTCAAGTTTTCAGGAGTGAAAAGAGTAAAAACTTCTTATAAAGACTTTGTTTAAAAAAACAGTGGAAACATTTTTAGTTTAAAGTTAATAAATATGAAACGTTTGGGCAACTTCTCTGTTTTAGGAGAAGAAGTTAAGACTACATCGAGGAGCTGCACATTAAAAAGGAAACAGTTAAAACCCAGCCGGGGGAAAGAAGCCCTGTTACTCTCACTGCAACTGAAACACGAGTTATTAAGAGAGCACACAGCATCTCTGTGCTCCCCCCACAAAGAGAAGAGGAGACCACACCTCTCCACAATGAGTCGAGTAACACAAGAAAACTAGACTAAAAAAAAGTGTTTTTGCACTTGTAGATCATTTTCAAGAAATCCCTGATGAATCTGGATTTGGGACGGTGTCAGGATCCTCGTGTGGATTCCCTCCTCGGTGTGTTTCTGTCGTCTCTTTGCTCCATCAGTAGGATGAATGATGTCACTGTCATCTGCTGTTTGCTCTCAGCAGCGTAACACAGAGAGAGACTCAGGTTTGATTTAGGGTGACGTAGTTCCTGTCAGCTGTTACGCCACCTCCTCCCTCCGCTCCAGACCGGCAGGCTGGGTTCTGGTCTTAGGGCTGAGGTCTTGGGTCAGTCCCAGCACCCCCTCTCTGGCTTTGAGCAGCTGATCTGATCCCCAGTGCAGGCAGAGCGGGCAGGGGCATGAAGGAGGGTGGTGCACGAGGCTGCTGGAGGGGTAGGGGGCTGCAGGGGGGGGAGCCAGCCCCCCTGCTCTGTGGTGGTACTGAGAGAGGCGCAGTGCATCCAGGGTCCTCATGGGGGCGCTGTAGCGACCGTGAGCTGAGGACACAGGTGAGGAGAGAGCCAGCGGGTAGTGATGGTGGAGGGGGAGATGGGGGAGGTGGGGTGGGAGGAAGGGGTACTGGAGGGCGGAGGAAGGTGAGGAACGGCTCATCAGGAGTGCCCCCAGGGGGTCGACGAGGGGGTGGGGCCACGGCAGGGAGTGTCTCTGACGTTTATCCTTCATCCTTCTGTTCTGAAACCACACCTGCAGAGAGGGAGGGAGGGAGGAGAGGAGAGGAGCGGAGGGAAGGAGGGAAGGAAGGAAAGAAGGGAGGGAGGAAGGAAGGAAGGAAGGAAACAAGGAAGGATGGAAGGATTGAAGGAAGGATGGAAGGAAGGAAGGATGGTAAGAAGGAAGGAAGGAAGGAAGGATGGAAGGAAGGAAGAAGGAAGGATGGAAGGATGGATGGAAGGAAGGAAGGAAGGAAGGAAGGGAACAGACACAAAGGAGAAGCAGTTGGTTAGAGTTAAGACTTAACAGCTGATTTGAAGTATGGACTGTACGGGTTAAATGTGGGAGGAGCTTGATGATCGTTAATAAAGTTGTTTAGCTAGCCAACGCTATTTTCTGTCAGAAACACGTGCCAAACGGTGCCATCAGAAAACAAAAGTCCTGAAGTCGAGGAATCAGCTCAAAGCTCTCGATGTGTGAGATTTAAGCAGTCCAGAAATGAATGGACCGGTTAGGAGCAGCTGATTGGCTGATTGGCCTCTTCAAAGAATCGGGTCAGAAACGGCCTGAACTCGCAGTGTTTGCACGCCGCAACAAACCCGGGACCAAAACCTGTTTAAACCTTTTCACAAAGCTCAAACCTTTTATAGTTTAATAAAGAAGTGAGGATTATGTTTTATTAAACCGTTCATTAATAAATTAAGGAGATTTATTTAGTGCTCTTCTTTTAGAGTTTCAGACGTTTGTCTCTCGAGTCCCTTCTGAAAGCTTCTGAACCAGCAGCTATGTTGTTAAACTAGCGGCCGGATTACATGTGGATTACTCCTCGGCACTACTTTGTGGGTCGGCCTGTCCCGTTCCTCTAAACTCTTTCACCAGTTCAGAGAATCCCCCCGGAAGGCTGAGCTTCTAAAACGTCAGGTGGCGGCGTTTACGAGGCCTCTCCTCGCATTCCTGCTCCGTCATAAAAGAGCGAGCTGTAGCTGGCAGAAAGGTGGGCGCGTTTACTGCATATTAAAGCCGCTGCACTGCGCCAGCGGGGCCTCTGCGGCAAATGTTAGACACCGCAAAAGCTGTCACTACTCAATCTACCGCACCGGCCCGAGTTCTGAGGAGACGGGGGAAGAGTCAGAGGTGCTGACGTGTAGGTGAGTCCCTCGTCTCTCTCCTGCTCGGTTTCTTTTTTTCTGTTTGTGAGATCAAAAAGCATGAAAACCCTCAGAACACACCATGTGGTAAAACCAACAAAGAAGAAACTTTATAATATTTTAAATTTCCTATCAGGTGAAACTACACCTGAACCTGAATGACACTGGTTGGTTGAAACAGTGAAGAGAGATGAATTCAAAAAGCTCTGAATGATTTCAGGATCTGTTGTTTTCTTAAAGAAGCTTGAAGTCGAGCCTCCCTTTTGAAGCTTTGCAGGACTTCTTCTTCAGGTGAAAAGTCAGAGAGATAGATTAGATTAGGTAGATTTAAAAGTGATCCTGACAGTGAAATATCTCTTCTTCTTATAATAAGATCAGGATCTGATCTAAGAGGTCACTCCTGAAGTCATCAGAGGTCACTTTAATAAAGAGACATGATGTGACCCTTGATATTAAACCTCACGGCCGTTCCCCCCCCCCACTGACCACAGGTTTGACCACCGTACCTTGATGGTTGTCTCCGGTAGGTTGAGCGCGGTGGCCAGCTCGCAGCGCCGGGGCCGCGACACGTAGCTCTCCTTGCCGTACTCCTGCTCGAGCCGGGTCAGCTGCTCGCGCGTGAAGGCGGTCCGGTGCCGCCGCTCGAGCACGGCGCTGCGCGTGCACGGCTCCGGAGCGTGCACGATGGTGGTTCCCGCCACCGGCGTCTGTCTGCCCTCCGCTACTGAAATGACGCAAACAGAGGCACGAGCTCAGAGGACACCTGGGACACTTTGAAGACCTGAGATCAGTTTGAACCGTCAGAGAGTGCATGGCGCGAAAACTGCGCCAGACTAACTTTTATTAATAATTAGAAAACACAAATAAGAAGTTGAAGTGTGTAATGTTGACTGCATGCTCTAATCAACCAATCAGAAACGTTTGTGTCCCAGTCAGTGACAGCTCGTGCATAAAACAGAGACAATAATAAAGAAGTGATAATGAGCTGAAATACAGATTAATAACTTAAAATATAATTAGATGATAAATAATCAAACTTTACTAGATGAAAGGTCAGTCTGCTGAGAAGATGGTAAAACTAATTATACATTTTAAATAATTATAATAAAAATATTTCTCCTTACAACAGAGGCCTATGAGAATGGATTACTCTGATTACAAACTCAGGACATGTCGGATATTTCTGTTCATGTCATGTTTGTGATAATAAAATTTGATTTCAAGGATTTTCAAATAAATTTCATCAGATATTTATAAAAGTCGCCAAAAAAACGGACCTGAAACAAAAACTTTTGAGGACTGGAGACATGGCCGAACTTTTCTTGACTTTGAATCAGACACAAACAGCCATTCTTCGTGTAGAGCTTTTAAAACGTGTGGAATGTTTCCTCATGTGATGAAGTTGCTCTTCTCTGTTGTGACCTTCATTACATTTATAAAGTTCCGTTTTTGTCTAAATTAAAATCTATTGACTGTCGAAGTGTCTGCAGTTGATATTTTGTGATGAACACATCAGTGTGTGAGGCAGGTCAATGATAACACACTGAACAGGAGAATCACGAGAACATTCACAGTGCTGAGGTCGTTAAATTGAATAATTACGTCATTTTTAAATCAGTGTTTGTGTAGATGAGTGTGTGTTAGAAATGTCGTCCGCAGCTTCGGTGGAAAAGTGAATCTCTGAGTCTCATTCTTAAAGTTAGCATCATTAAAGTAGTTTTGACATTTACTTACACATCAGGCTGTTGGCAGAAGTAAAAACTTTAAATCCTCTTTGTTGCTGCTTGTTCTCGGCTGTTCTTCGGATGGAGTGTCCCCCCCCTCTGCAGGCTGCAGGGCCGCTGAAGATGCTGCAGCAGCGCGACTAAAACTCCACAAACACACAGAGTTCACCCAGATCTGCTCAGACAGTCAGGAGGAAGATGAGGTGTTTTTGTCCCAACACCCCCTCCCCCTCCTCCCCCTCTCTCCTCCTCCTCCGTACTGTCTGTGTCCCCGGGGCTGCTCCTCTCCCCTCTCCCCTCTCCCCGCCGCTGCAGACGGGCCTCGGTGTGCGCGTCGGCCCGGCGCGGCGCCGCGGCCTCGGAGAGGTGTTAAAGGTGTTACGGGATGAAGCCTTTGGTCTGCTCTCGGCCTTTGTACTTTTGTTATGGAGAATTAGAGACGCGCAGGCAGAGACAGCAGCTCAGCTTCATTGTTCCCCTGCGTTTGATGTTTGATGTTTGGAAGTCAATCATTACGCGCCTAATGGCTCCAAATCAGTCGAGGCGGCGCACGAGGAGCAGAGTTAATCCTTAAAATTATATTATTTTACACGTTTAGAGCATATTTATTTTCCAATCAGAGAAAGGAACATTCTGGTTCTCATTAGTCTGAGTCCTTTTTTATTTTTTAAATTGAATGGATGATGTTCGGTTAAAGTCTTGGTCTACATAAATTATCAGACTACTTTCTTAAATATGTATCTTCATTATATGAAGAGTAAATGTGATTTATTTTAGGGATGTTATGAGTTATATACTTATTTATAGGTTTTACATTTGTGGCTTTTAGGTTTTCTAGTTTTTTTGTATTTCCTTAGATGAATTAAAACATTCTCTGTTTTTTTTTATGATCCAGACTTTGAATAATGAGCAGGTATGAAGAGAGTCCACAGGGAGGATTAATCGAGCTTCATAGAGCAGTAATAGCAGAGCAGTATCAATGAGAAGCGGATCCTTTAAGTGCACAGGCTGGTGCGCAGAGCAGCAGCGGACCCTTGAACCGGTGTTTTGGAGCTTATTACGGCTATAATCTGCGCTGATTGTTAATCCAGCGGCCAGATGATGAGAAAGAGGACAGAGGGAGGACGGAGACACTCAGACGCCAGGTAGGGTGGAGCCACTGCGACATGCAGGAAATTTATCATTACACCGTCACATGTAAGGGATCCTACCTTCTCTGCAGCAGACAATAAGAATCATGCATTGTGTTATATTTAAAGCAGTTTGTCTGCAGGAATCAGTTCTGTTCGGTTTATATCTTTTTAATTTCCTTTAAGTTTTAACTGATGTTGTGCTGACTTTATTTTCTGTGTTTGAACTCAAACTGCTGCTGAATGTCTGCAGACAATCAGGAGTGGGAAGGTTTATATCTCCCCCCTTATGACTTATTGAGACTTCTTGAAGTATCATAAACAGGACTAAGGTTGACAAAGAAGGATCATAAATATAGAAATATTAACATGAAATAACCTTAAAGCAATGATATTTATTGATTCAGATTTTACATCCGGAGTTTCTGAGAAGGAAAAGTTTAGTTTAATTAAATAAACCTTTGACACATGTTGGCCTAATCAATTCAACATGCAGATTAAGAGAAGAGAGATTTAATCTAACTGGAAACTATAAATAATCTCACTAATGAAGCAGTGATGATGTTGTTCAATTAGAAGATCATGAGCGACACAATGAGAAGCAGACGCTGATGTTATAAAGGGGGACTCGTGACTTGAATTAAAGGGGATAATGAGAGACAGATTAACTCTAAACATTCACATGAGTGTGTGAACATGAGGCAGAGCAGAGACACATTCAGGGTCCGTGATTCACTATCAGAGAACTTTTTAAAGGACATTAACCCCAAAATGACAACTTCCAGGAATGAGAAACAAAGATAAGGGTCAAAATCTGCAGTTCCTCCAGTGTCTACTAGAGGCTTTCTCCTGCAGTGAGTCAGTCCCCATAGAGCTCCATGTTAAAATGTACAACTTTACAGCTGCAGTTCCTCCAGTGTCCACTAGAGGCTGTAAATAAGTCTCAGAGCTCCTCAAAACATGTGTGTGAAGTGTCTTGTTCTAAATCCACTCTAATCCTGTATTTGATCATGTCTCTAAACCCCTCTATTTCAGCCCTGCTCAGAACAGGCTGTTTCTGTGTCTGTAACTTTAAATATGTAAATGAGCTGTGTCTGACCACGCCCCCTCTCTGAAAGTACTCGGGTGTGCTCGGGCTTTCTCTCTCCATGTCCTATTGTTTACGGTGAGAAGGCAGACTCAGAGGGCAGAACAAACACCTAGCTGTGGGAGTGTCCCCCACCTGGGGGAGGGGCTACTGCCATTTGTGATGTCATCAAGGGAAAATCTCCAAACGGCCTGTTTGAGCACACATTTTCTGAAAAGTGGAGCAGGCAGAAGACGGAGAGGATGGACTTTTCTCATCATTGGGGGGTTTCATGTTAGAGTTAGAGGAACATGGAGAAGTGGATTTGACAGAATATGTGACCTTTAAGAAAAGACTCCAGTCACATGCAAGGACTGTTAGCGGCTGCGCCTTTCCAGCTTCACCTACCTCCAAATATGGTCACCACTGGCTGGCAACGGCCAAATGTAAAACTCGAGGCCTCTGAAATGCCGTTCGTTGCTGTCATGTTTTTTTCCTTTTTTTTTAAACAGTCTCTGCAGGATGAAGATCTCACATTATGTATCCTGATAGTTACACTACACATAAAAAGAGAACCAGGAATTGAATTTCAAAGGTAACCACTCCCCTCCCTGAGTGAGTGTTGACTTCTGTAACCTTGTCTGTCCTCTGACCGCCAGGAGTCTGAACGTGAGCTCACAGCAGGAGAACAGAGACACAAACCAGCCCGAGAGCTCAGAGGGTGCAGAGCATCGATCAAACTTTAAAATAACTCTGAGCCTTGTGCTACAGCTGTATGGATATAATATAATGACTTCCAACATGCTGTAAAATGCAGAGACGTGATAGTGGCACATTTCTGCTTGATAATGAGTTCTGTTGTTCGGCGCAGCAGCAGCTGCTTTCACTGACTCTTAAACACAAAGACACAGATTTATTGAGCCGACAGCGCATCACATCTGTGCAGCAGCGAGACGTGCTGCAGAGTCAGCTGAAACACACGAGAACATGAACAGCTGCAGGAAGCTCGGAGACGAGGTCAGGAGTAAACGCTGCACGGTTAGTATCCCTGCCTGCAGATTCATGAAACCTGACTGATGACATTACTGAGACATCATCAGACATCTCATCTTGTCTCCTTACTGAACAGTTGATCACAGTAACGTCTGTCGTTAAAAAAGTCCTCAGTGAATTATGATCGCATGTTAGCATCCGCTGCAATCTAGCATTTAGAAAGTACCTTCACAGTCCTGTTTGAGACCGGGTTTTACAAAACCGTCAACACTCACTGAGACAACATTCAGAGGTTTGTTCCTGAAGACGTTTTCACATCTACACTCCTGAAAATATCGAGATAATTCAGGAGGACTGCTCCAGATATCCTCCTGATCTGTTCACACATGCACCTCACAGCAGACAGGAAGGGGGGCGGGGCCTCCTGAGGTAAGACGGGCAAAAACAGAGTCCTCTTCACGATGTTATAATGAGAATATGTGTCTTTGTATCAATGCTACGTGTAGTTGAAGAGAATCTCAATGTGAACTAAAGAGTGGAGAAGAACATCCTGGAGAACAGGAAACATGCAGCAGCAGGTTGATTAGAGCACGGAGATGGTAGAGGTGGCGTGCAGACAGTCTATGGTCGTGCAGCGATCACAGGGAATAAAGGTCATCACCCCCTCCCACTGGCTCCAGGTGATTCTCCTGATTATATCCTGCTGCGTTCTCACATCAGCTCACTCTGACTTTCTGCAGAATAAATACGAGGAGGCTGGAGGAGAAACTCTGGGTGAAGAGAGAAACATTCAGATGTTTGTGTTCACACAGGCTGAAACACTTCAGACGTTTTCTGCAGATGTGAAAGAACTATTTTTTGGGGAAAAGTTTGGTGTTGAGGGAGAACATTCTGGTCGATGATGAAAACCATTAACTGGGTGTAAAGAGGAAAAACAGGTTGCTAGAAGTGTGAACTTTAACAACCCGAGCAGCAGAATCAGGAGCATCTGTGCGGCGCAGTGAGTCGCTCCCTGCAGGGCAGACTCGATAAAGCAGATTCAACAGCCATATGTTTGACAGATTCAAAAGTGTTCTTTTGAACATTTGATCAAACCTAGCGATCTTTTGGGACAGCAGGGTTTTGGCAGCAAACCATGACAGGCGTTAACATTTTTTCTCGTCGAGCTGCTGAGCCATAAATCAAAACCAACATGCACATCTCATCGGTATGCACACTCAAATGAAGCTGTTTATTGGTTTGACAGAAATATGTGCTCAGAGGTGTCTAAGAGAAGTTCTCTCTTCTTCTCCTCCATGACATGTGTTTCATGTAAGGAGGGTACAAACACACAAACACAGGCCGAGCAGTTAGAGGCAAGGTGTTAGCATACGGCTGTGAAATAGCTGATGTTATTGTAAAAATAAAACAGGAATGCTTCAGGGAATCCACCTCAGGTGAAGTCTGGATCATCAAAGTCAATGGCATAGAAAGTTTCACAGAGTGCCCCGAAACAAGAAAAACTTTCTCAATCCCCCTCTCCTTCTTCCACACAGCAGCTCAGCACAAAGCCTCAGACTGGAGATGCTGCCTCACCACCTCAAGCTTCCTAGGATCCTGATGGAAGTCAGCACACCCATATCACAGGCGAAATGTGAAGATGTGATCAGAACCTTTTTCATCCCACAGGCGGATCATTCAGATCCTGTTCATGAAAATCTCAAACACAGTTGTAACGAGGGACGGCCCTGGCAATGCCAAATCCTAACGGGCGCCTCTTTGACTTTCAGCTTCATTTTTGATCGTACAAGGACAGACGGCTCATGATGGTTCCCTCTCCTGGGAACCGGGGTCAGAGGCCTTCTCCAAGTCCAAAACAACAAACAAACATGTAGACTGGATGAGTAAAGTCCCTAAACGTGACAAAATAAAAATAATATGTGAAACCATCAACTGAAGATAAAAAAAACCAAGAAGCAGCAGTTTCCCCTGAGTCTCACAGAACCACACTGACCACTGAGCTGAACAAGTACATCCTGCATGTTTCAGAGTTTATTTCAGGATGGAATAATGCTGCAGGAAGCCAACAACATGGACATAAACTTAATAACATCCTCCCCTAAACATGGTGTTTAACTGCTAACAGATCAGCTCCAGTGTATGTAAACATGATGTATAGGATCAGAACACCTGGCTCTTCTCCAGAGACAAACCTTTAAAAAGGCGGGTAAGAACACACAGCGCTGTGACACATATCAGGAGGGTTCAACTCCTCTCTGCTACTGCAGCTCTGCAGCATCACTAAGCATGAGCCAAAACCACAAGAGAAGTCCTCCAGTCGGGAGCAGATGTTGCACAAACTCTTTTTCTGACACGTTCGGCTCGGGGTGTACGTCGGGACAACACACAGATTTTTCTGTAAGCTTTCAAACATTATAGCAACATGTGCAGCATAGATACACATGTCACACACATGCTGCACAGAACAGGAACGCAGCATGTGGATTGTTCCTCAAATATGAACACAGCGGTTTAAAAAAAACAAAAACAGTTTGAGTGTTTGATCAGATGAACGAGGACGCTTCATCGCTCAAATGAAGGCCTGACAAATTGTATTCACATGACCTCAAGCAGAGGTCAGAGCGTTTCTCTAACCAACGGTATTCAGAGCACACAGAAAACATCTACATGTCGTAAAGAAGAGAGAAAAACAACATCTGATCCATCAAAGGGAAATACAGCGAGCTACTGGACTGAGATGGAGAGCATGTTTGAAACTCAGGATAAAGAAATGTCAGTTTGTCAACTCGAGTGACACGTAGCGAGAAGTCTCATCGGATCCCGTCTTTGTACTTTAGCATCTTAAAAAAGTCTGCCAGACTCTAGTGGACACTGGAGGAACTGCAGATCCACATACTTAACATTCATCTAGAGCTTTTGAAGCTCATCTTCAGGTTTTCACAACATGAACCGGGTTTCTAAAAATCAATGTGGGCAGAAAAATGCAGATTTTGTCAAAAGAAAGTTAAGTTTGGAGATTTTGTTCTGCAAATGAAATGGATTATTTGTTCAACC